TATATCAGGTAGAAGAGAGAAAGAGAAATGATAAAATCAAATTTTCTTACTCGGTAGCCCTTCTCCCCGGTGCCTCCAACTTCTCCTCCCGCTCCTTTCTCGCCTTTGGGTCCGGGGGGTCCATCGAGTCCAATGTCGCCTGGAGGTCCCTCCGTTCCTTCGGGTCCAGGTATCCCAGGAAATCCCGGTTGTCCTTTTATTCCCTTACAATTGCATTTGTACGAGTCTTTGCAGATCTGTAACACATCGTAAATAACTGCATAAGGGAATTTTTTTGTAGAAGAGTTCGGTACGTAGATTGTCTCTTTTTGGTCGCGATCGATTTCGACGAGGTCTTATACCGGACTTAAACCGCTACTGAATTTCACCAATAAGCGGTTTAGCACGGTAAGCCGACCGTGATCGAACTCAGGATTTATAAAATTTGATTTATCCTGAAAAACGTATAACACGTCGGGAAATAGGACGCCCTTGCAAGAGAGCTGTCGCGAAATTTAATATCTCTAATTTCATGCTCGAAAACGCCACTTTATTAACGTTGCCGAACGTTGCGGCGATAATTGGGAAATACGCTGCGCACTAACAGAAAATAGTACATTACGTAACTTGATAAATTTATCTAGAATGAAAATAATACATCTGAAGGACGGATCTCGTTGTGAGGGCCGCGATAAAAATTGATTAAAAACGGTTTTGTTATATCGTTAAAAAAAATCGGGGACAGGGAAGAGGACAGAGGAAGAGCGCATTGATTGCGGCCAGTGGCGTAAGCCTGTAAGCGAAATTAATCATAGACTGAGATTCGAAACGAAATACTAGGGATACTTGTTACACTTTTACAATTTTTTTTATTTTTTTCAATACAAAGATGGGACGGATTGTAATCTAATTTCAATTTTGCAATTTTCGTTTGCATTTCGGAATCGTAAATCTCGTTTTTAGACTTTAAACATTGTAAAGCGTAGTGCCTGCACGCCTGTTTAATGAACAAAACAGTCATGCTCTTGGACAAAATTGTAATGTTGACAATATATATAGTTAGTTAATTCGTTCATGAAAAAAGTTACTTTTTAATAAAATATTTGATTAATAGTTTGATGAAGAAGCGTTTAAGTAACTGATGTTTCATATATAAATTAATTTTATCTCACACTAGTTCATATCATTTCTAATTAAATAAATTAATTAATGCATGAAAATTCGAGCAAATTAAGCGCGCATTGCACTTCTCAAAAATTCACAAAGTATTTATATCTATTAACAAATTCTTCGCTTAATTAATAGCATCAGTAAGTAATCCCACTACGCCATTGCCTCGCGAAGGCCGCGCTCTATTTGAATAACGTGGAAGAGAACGAAAACGGAATCGCGCTTCCACACATTTGCCTTGTAGATGAAAGTTTTGCTTGTGTCAACGACGCACTCCGGGACCGAAAGCGCGCGCGCTCTCGAGGAACGCCGTCGTCGTTCCTCGTTATTCTTTTCTCTCGCCCATTTTCTCGCTTATCTCGCTACACATGCCTCATTTTAGTTCCGCAGCTTATGACGCTTTATCGTTTGTCTCGAAATACGATGCGCGCAGCGGAGGCAGCAAAGTATTTCTTTTTATAAGACGCGAGGGGATTATCGTTATACCTAATAACGAATAAGAAACCATGGAGGACACAAGCTTAGAATCTAAGAACTATTTTCTTCAAATTGGGAAGTAACGAAAGCTTCAATAAAATTGTTAAAGAAACGTGAAATTTCAGAAGTAATACAAAAATTCTTTTGTTCGTGGATTCACCATCATACAATTTTGAATAAAAAACATTGTTTGCGACGAAATTTTGATTTGGAGAAATTCATGTAATCTTTACAATGACAAATATGATTTCGTCAGAGACTTTTTAAGCACTAAGCTCAAGGCTATTGTCTTATCTCAAGGCTATTGTTACTTGTGCAATGATATAACTGTTGCAGTATAATCTCAATGTCACTATTACGTTACTGCGAAGGACGGTGTCGTTCTATTAAGTATCGTGGAAGAGACGATCTGGGAATGTAACTGTTTATTGCATAAGAATATTAATAAGTAATTTATTCTTCATCGTTGACAACTGAAAGTTTCCATAAAGTGGAGAAAGTATACATTCGTTAAACTCATTTCGCTACATTAAATATAAAGATTGGGGGAAGTAGATCAGTGTGACATTTACATTTTTAATCGTGTATAACTTTCGCATATAACCCGTTTAAATATATTTCAACATGTTACTATATTTTATTTTATTTCATTAATTTATGTAATTATTTAAAAGTACAATCTAAAAATACTAATAATTTTACGCAAACAAATTTTTTTATTAACATCCCAATAAAATTAAACATATTTTTTTCTTTTTTAAGTAACTGCTTGCACTATACCTTAAAATATAAGACACGATTTAAATTAAGGTTGTAGTAAGGTTGATCATAATGTAAATGCAGCAGCAGTAATCGAATTTTTGCAAGTCTTAAAAGGTAAATTGCCTTTACTGAATGGCGCACGAAAATGTCAAACTGCCTAAATTCGCGGCGTCGGCGTCGTTGCCGCTTGGCAAAGCCGTCCACGTGCGCGTATTATCCCGTAATATCAATATCGCGCCATCAGCGTAATTCATGCAATTAACTTAAACGCGTGGGATCGCTTAACACGGCTCCTCCTGGCAATCTCGGCGAACGCGGACAAGATTCCGCGCCTTCTTCTTCTTCCTTTATTTTCTTTTTTTCCGTCAATAAAGAAAAACACATTTCTTACCCAGTAAAATAATATAAAAATGACATATAAAAAATGATAATTGAGCATATAAATATTAATATGATTTATTTTATATTATTATAATACTGAACATAATGTTAATATGTTTAATATTAAAATATTAAAATATATTATTAAAAAATAAGTAAAGTTCTTTTCGGTTAGATAATTAAATTGTTAGACGCGCGAAAAAACCGGTTTGTGAAGATCCCTCTTCTCTTCCTCTTTAAGTTTGCCAACTTCTGCCATAATATGACGATATCCCGCGACTCCCGCGAGATGCGTCTTATGCGTTTCGATCGCGCGGCCTCGGCGCGTAACGATATCCTACCAAATATGTAACGCAGGCGGCACTCTCCCTGTTTCCACGCATCAGCGACATGACGTAACCCAGCACCAGCCCCGACGAGGAGGAATCCGCGTAGCTATACGTCGTGACATAATTCCACGATTACGCGCGCGAGAGGGCGATCCGCCGGGAATTATGCCTCGTTTGTGCGTCGCGCACCACAGTCGGCTCCCGTCAAGAAGGCAAACGTCTCTCGCGAGAATGCTCTGATTTTGCGAAATAGCTTTGCTTACATCTCATTTAAGCATCTCGCATTTGCACTTGAGTGAGGGGGTGAGTGTAGGAGCTGAACATTAATAACTAGTAACACAACTGAGAACTAATTGTTATCTTTATTCATGACTCCTTTGATGAGAAAATTGATTCTTTTTTTATGAAAAATATAAAGAAACTAACATTTTTTTACGTTAACAATTTAAGAAATGTTTTATTTTGTAATTTACATTAGGATCATTACAGAATACAACGATTTTAGGATTTATAATTCTTTCTTATTATTAGAAGAAATTGTTTACAGTAAATTCGAGATTAATTGGAGATGGTTTAACTTAGACACAGCGGGACACAGTAAAATGGCGGTCGTGTGGAGTAACATTTAAGTTAGGTCAGATTAGTGTCACGTCGTAGATTAGGCTAGTGTCAGAGTGGTCAAGGTTTTCTCCGATATATTCTTTTTCTTTATCAGAAAAAAGAACACTTGTATAGAAGCGCTTTTTTTTCTCTCTTTCGGACGTTATCTGTTATCGCGGAGAAATACATGCACGCTTCTGAAATTTGTCGCACTATTTACGGATTGTTTCGCAATCAACTCAGTATATTAATAAATCGGAGTAAATCTAAGACTTTTGATATATAATCCGTTTAAAATTATATATTCGGCGCACAAATATACGCATTCCGCGGAGGAGTACGAAACCATATGGCACATGGTTTCGTTTAAGAAAACCGCCTGGCGTAATCGCCACGCTAAGGACCGGTGCGGCGAGTATAAGTACATTGGAGTGTAAGTACGAGAAGCCTCTTGTGTGGTGCTCTCGCGGTTTCACGTATATGTATATACGTGCGATGCTGTGGAAAGAGTTGAGCGCGGTCCCGCGTAGCTAGCCGTTTTCGTCGAACAGCGGACGTTTACGCGAGCTGATGATTCCAAATATTTAGGCTCGCCGGGAGGTTCGTGAACCCCCGATTCCAAATTTACACCATTACGATATACGCGCTCTCCTATTACGTCGAAGTTTAATCCCGCAATCCGTGTTGGAAACGTTGACTCGCTTTTGGCAATCGATTATTCTCGCGAGTTTAACGAGAATTATTCTGGGAATGGCCAAGTAATTGCTCTTTGGGAGATTTTTAGCTCCTCTCTATAAATAACTCGTAAATATAGATAGTAAGGCAATAAATTGTATAATAGCTATTGTTACTATATCTGTATTTAGAAGTTATTTATAGAGAGGAGCTAAAAATCTCCCAAACTATATTACTTCTCCAGTCCCAGAATATATGTATACATATATAAAATATTTATACATGCTGTGTATTAAAAATTAATATATTTATATTTAAGAAAGTTAACTTTTTATAAATTGAACACTTTCTAAAGCGTCAATGTGGATTAATGACGGCAGGTAAATTCTTACGGCCGCGACCAGGAAGTACTTGCGACGATAAAGCCGTTTATTCAGGACTACCCAGTACGTGCGTCCCGATGCCATTCTCGATTAGTTGTGGATCGCCAACGCGACGCCCTCGCAATTGTACGTAGCGCCACGATAATGATAATGCACGCTTCGAGCCTTAACTTTGCCGCAAAATGGCCTGTTCGCTAATCGGTTTGAGTTCAGCAGGGAATCAACAGGTGTATTCGAACAGCACGAGAGAGATAGAGAGAAAGAGAGAAAGATAGAGAAGAAAGTAGCGATAGAAAGAGAGAATAAAAAAATGCATACTATTAACATTTATTTTTAGATACACAGTAAAAAGTCGTGCGTCCAAATGTTAAAATTTTCTTGTGTTACCAAGATTTGACTATTATTTCAATGTAAAATTAACATACAACAGCTATGTTATTATTTTCGTAACATTTTCATGTGTTATATTTATGTCAACGT